GCGGGCAGAGCTGGGAAATTTTGTTTATCAAGTGAGGGGCATGACGCGCAAAGGAACGGAGGCAAGGCCGCCGCCATGACACAAATATCACTATTTTTTCAGGGCCCAACACCCTGCTCTTCCGACTCGCCGCGTTACACCTCATCGCCCCGCCTTTTTTTTCTGTTTTTCTACCCCCCCCCGTCCGCGTCGCCGCTCTCTCGCACGACCCTCACGCCTGTACGCCCTCCCAATACTGCCACCAACGCAACGACGCATACACCGCATTATTGTATAAAACAACAAAAAAAATTCTCAATACAATACTGTACAATAATCAACTACACAAGTACCATACCTACCCTTCCCTCCTCCCCCCACAAAACATTACACACAAATCATTACACTCGACACTATACACCAATATCGTCCAACACGTGTACACGACTCACTTTACACAACGGACATACACTGCTCTATTAATACGTCCAGGTCCGCGCATGGCAATCTCCAGACCCCGTGGCAAGGCTATTCCCCATCGGGCTATGTGCTATACTAATCACAGAGTTCTTGTGCCCTTGGAGCATCAAGCACATCGTCGATTGCCGTGGGTCCCAGAACTGCACTGTCCGATCCTTGGATCCAGACATCAACCACCTCCCGTTCGGGCTGAACGCCACGCTCAGCACAAAGTCCTTGTGCCCCTTAAATGTCAGCCGGCATTGTCCAGGCCCTTGCGGCACAGAAAGATCCCACAGCTTGAGCGTCTTGTCGAGCGATCCGGACAAAAGCAGTCGCCCATCCGGTGAAAATGCTACAGAGTAAACCGAATCCTGGTGCCCTTCTAGTTTTCGCACCATCCGCCCTGTTTCCACATCCCACACTCGTACAATCTTATCCAGTGATCCCGCAGCCACATGCTTACTGGTTCGACTGATCGACACAGAAGTGATCCCATCTGTTGGTCCGTGTTCACCACCGAGTGTGCGCAGCAATTTTCCCGTCTCCAGCTGCCAGAGCTTGGCTTTCTTGTCCCCAGATCCGGAGACGATAAACTGCCCGTCCGTACTTGCGTCGACAGAGTAAATGTCCGTCCCGTGTCCTTCCAATCGATGCTTCACCTGTCGGCTCCGTACGTCCCACACCTTCACCACATGATCCTCCGCTCCCGTAATCAGCCAATTCCCATCCGGCGAAAAGCAAACCGCCCGAACGTAACTATCTGGTGAATTTCCGTCCTCTCGTTCTGGAGCAGGCTCCTTAGCAAACGACGCAATAATCGCCCCGGTGTTTGCGTTGAATACATGAGCTACCCGGTTCGACCCTGTCGCAAGATATGCCCCGTCCCAGCTGTATCGAACGCAGCATACAACCGAATTCAGCTCAAGTGTGTTCTGTAGCCGTATTTCTGTGTTTACGACCGCTCGCGTCGCCGACGGCTCATGATATACCGTCCAGTCCGGATCAGTCAGCGGCCGAGGCCCCGATAACGGCATTCCGACCGTGGTCCTCAACATCTCCGCGCGACCACCAGCACTTGGAAACGACGGGTTTCCACCAGGTCCGGTCGGGCCGCTCACGCCAGCTCGCAAACCTCTAGTGCCTGGCGTGCCGGCTGACCCTATCGTCACACTTTCGTCTGCACCAGGCACGCCAACAATCATGGATCCGGTGCTTGGAGCGCCTGGAGGTCCTGTGCTAGAGGCACCCAGTCCAAGGCCCCCGGGCGCACCGCTTCCAAGACTGCCAGGTCCCATCCCTGGACCGATAATACCTGAGTCTTTCCTATTCCCGTGCGCATGCCCTTGCGTCGTACCATTCGGCGGCATGAGAGACATCGACGGAATCTTTCCTGCGAGTGAAGATGCTGGCTGGCGCGATAGGGACGATGGCCTGCCAGTATTCATGGGAGACATAGGTGGCTGGCTTCCAGGTGGTGGGACGCCAGATGGAGGCACGCCAGACATACCCATAAGACGGACTGGCGCTCCTGGTTGTCCGGGTTGAGGTCCTGAGCGGGGACCCTGAGCAGGTTGTTGGGACGGATGGGCTTGAGGATTCGCGCTCATGCCGCGAGATGCAAACATAGCAGGAAGTGGTTGCTGGTCTCCAGGAATGTTAGACGAGTAGGGCGGTATCTGGGAAAAAGATTCAGGAGTATTGAGTCTGCGTTTGTTAGTGAGTGAAGCATTCGAGAGACGAGGGGGGCAAGGTTGCAGTGGTGTGGAGTGAAAACCTACCTGACCAGGCTGCTGTGAGTGCCGCTGCTGTTGTTGCTGCTGTTGCTGCTGTTGCTGCTGTTGCTGCTGTTGCTGCTGTTGCTGTTGTTGTTGCTGCTGTTGTTGTTGTTGAGCTGCGGCAGCTTGGGCTGCGGCAGAAAGCGGAGGCGGGGTTTGGCCTTTGAGACGCATGATCTCTGCTTCGTACTGCTCCTTAACGAGTAAATGCTTACGTTCGAGGTCGTGCAATTCACCGAGCATTGCGTTGAGTTCTGCGGCTTGTTCATCGACCTTGCGAGCCCAATCGCCGCGATAGCCCTTGAATGATGCATTTTCAGAGGAGATGCGATCGTACTCGGCCTTGAGAAGTTCGAAGAGCTCTGTGAAGCGTGAGGAAGGGTGCGACGGCGAAGCCATCGGGCTAGTGAGGACGTTTCTGAGACTGAAGGTTGGGGGTGGGCGCAGTCACACACGAAGGATAAAATGATTGCGATAGCGGTTGGTGCAATATGGGCGTTAACCAAGCTGGTGCTGATGAGAAATTCGGTAAGCGATAGCGACGAAATGGTGGTGGGAAGGCAAGGCGATCGGACAATGCGGGGAGGATGGGGGTTCGGTTAACACTGAGATCACAACGTGGTGGAGAAAGCAAGACGTGGGCGAGTCGTGCGTGACGGAAGGGAGTGCAAGAGTGACTTTACAAGGTGAGGGGAGTGGGAGCGAATTGAGGGATAGCTGAGGAGGAGCAAAATGGTGGATCGCTAGGGGGAGGATGATTGCAGAAGAGGAAGGGCGGCTGGTCGTCAGCTCTAAAAGGGGGGACGGTGGAGGGGGGGCGGGGGCGGGGGCGGGGGCGGGGAGGGGAGTCAGGTTTGTAAATGACAAAAAAAAAAGGGTAAACGGTGGTTGGCGAAGCGAGGCGCGGGCAGCACACCGGCGCGTGCCGTCCAAGACGAGAGGGGGGCGGGGCGGGGTGGCGGAGGAGGGGACAGCGAGAGGCACTTTGATAGGGTTGGTGTCTGTGTTTTCCGGACCGAAAATGGGTGGAAGATGCCCCGCGGTCCTGAGGCCGTGCGCATAGCCTTCGGCAAAAGGAGTGCGGTGGGGGCGATCATGCAGAGATAGGGGTTTTTTGGTGGTCCTGCGCCCAAGCAATACCAAGGCGAGATTGTGTGCGCCACGCAGGCTTTAACTGGGGCCAAAATCGATCCACCCACGGTGGGACACTCGTCTTTCAATCAAGAGAACCGTTCCTCTACGGTACTTGCAGGTCAGGCTTCCCGGTCTTCACTCGCTGCCCTGTGCAATATTCGCGTGCAGTGCTCGCGGGCTTTAGGGCCGTTCCTACCGGTGTGCTAGCACGCAAGCACCCTGACATTTGGCATGAATGGATTGGTTGAACGGGAGTAAAAGCATTTCCAATAATTTTTTCAACCAATACATTCATGCCAAGTTTCAGGGTGCTCGGGTGCTGGCACACCGGTAGGAACGGCCCTTACTTGCGTGCACTACTCCCGACCCCTCGCGTGCAGTGCAACACCTTCCGTACCGTCGCTTTTCGTAAACTACTGTAATTTTCTGCAACTCATTCACAGACACCCTTCGTACTACAGTACAATATTCCTTTGTTTCACGCTCTGATCAGGGCCTATCTAAAGTTTATGTCAGAGTCGGAAATTGCTGGGAAGTGGAAATTTTGTTATGAAAAAATTATTATACTGTACATATTTTCCAGTTTTCGTGGCCCAGGTTAAGGCTACAGTAGTGAAATTGGTAAAACTACTGCAACAGCTCCACTTGTAGCCTTGATACACGACAGGCACAACACTACACGTGTACACGTACTACAAAGCATGTGCCGCATTTCGCGATATCCATCCTCTTTTACTCACTCCCCTCCCTCGCCCACAAACCACAAACACGTCGAATGATATTAGAAATCGTGCTTCGACATGCGCAGAGTTATCGCTGGCACACCCTTGAAGGGGAGGCTACATGGAATTTGGAGATTCGGAGCTTTCGGAATCTCCAAATTCCATAACTTATCGATTCCTTGATCAGCCCTCAGCACAGCGGTGAGAAGTGAAGAGCACGGCACTCTCTACAGCAGAAATACTGTGCCACTGCTCTTCGAACATGCTTCTTGCTCACATTTTCGATCCACCCCAGTGCGTAAAGTGACCGCCGATATTCACACTCTTAGCCCTTGCCGCTTCGATGTCCACAGCTGTGTTTCGTTTACCGCGAAAAAAAAACGAGTCGCCACTGATCGTTGTCCATGTACAAGATGCCGTACCGTACAACGGTACGTGTACAGCTTACTTTTCACGTTGATCTTGATACTGTATGTCGGCGATTCCATTGCCTGCCCAGTTATCATATGGCATGACTCACTTTCACGCAAGTACTGTTCTGTACAGCGTCCGTACTGTGCTACTGTGGTAAAAGGGAGTGCCCCCTGGCCAGGAGACAGGTGGAGAGGGATGTGCACAGTATATGTAGTAGCGATATCCAACAGCTACGGACATCCCACAGGCGTTTTTGAGGCTACAGTATCTTTCCGTCTCTTACTGTACAGATCAATGTGTCATGTAAAGGGGGGTTGCCGGTGTTGTCGGACAGTGACAAAAAGTTCGGACATGCAAAATATTTGTAAGAAACGTCTTCGACACGGGCCAAAGTGCGGCACCGCCGCCTAACAGCGCCAGAAAGTGCGCTGTATCTCATAACGAAGTGGATGAAATTAAAAAACAAATATCCCAATCGATTGCTCACAGCGTTTTACGTATAGGAGTGTAACAGCCGAAGCACACAAAACAGGCGGACTTTTCAAATTCTCGTCCGGTATCCCTTCGACCTATTCCAACTCACAGTCAATTCAATTCACAGCATTCCGATATCCTTAATGTAAATAATGTACGGTGTACCGTACATAAAGGAGAATGCATATTTTTGGGAAATTGCTTTGTGTACGTTGTACCGTACATATAAAGGAGGGTTGCCCTAATTATCGGTCACCCGCCCCAACCCGTCAGTCACCCCTAATTGTTTCAATACATTCCCAAAAAATAAGATTCTTGTACACGTAAGAGCATCCCCACCAGTGAGGCTAAAGTTGTAAAAAAACGAATTTTTACAACTTTAATATTTTACACCCCTCTTCACTACTCCCACCGTTTCGAAAAGATGCATTACTTTTTACATCGAGATAAATTCGGGTTGTAAAAATCGAGAATATAGCACCAAAATTTAGAACTATGCATTTGAGGTGGCAAACGCTGATTGGTTCAAATTCCATTTTCCCGCGAAGTCAAAGTTGGTTGAAGGGGTCTTGAAGTTGAGCCTCTCTCTCCAGAGGAGAGGCGAGTCTCCACCAACACTCCTCCCCATCCTGTTCATGTCTGCACCAAACGTAAGTTTGTCTGGCAGCCACCGTACGTCTTTCGAAGGGACAGCCGTCACTAGCAGTTGCGCACCTCGCTCTCGTTTTGGGTTGCGCTCGAGATTTGGCTTTTTCCCCGGATAAGAGCCTTTGTGTTTTGGGGGCTCACTGTCGCTGTCCGAAGACAAAACATCCTCAACAATATCGAGAATGTCGTCCTCCACGAAGTCAGAGATGCCAATGGTACTCCGTGGAGGTTGTAAAGGCGTTTGCATCGGACTTCAGTGAGTAGGAGCATGCACTTCACAAGTAGGAGGGTGCGGTTTTTTGCCGGTGGGGTTGACCTGCAGGTCAATGCAGTTCTCGGCAAGGTCTTAAAAAAGCAAAGGTGTATAATAGCGAGAGGCCAATCAAGGCTCGCCAAGTTTCTAAAATATTTAGCACTTTACACTCGCCGGTGGGGATGCTCTAAGGGGCCAAGTTTCAGTACTAGGACTATCTCATTGCTGATTATCTCTGAAAGTCGTGGATAGATTTAAAAACAAATCTTTCCAATCGCTCTGCCAGAGCGTTTTACCATGATAAACCAGTCCGCCACTTGGCAGGAATGCAAATTAAGTGCATTCAAATCCCTCCAAAAAGGCGGGCATTAGCTCTTTGACCGAATCTTGCTAACCGAGCCCCTCATGGCCGCCCTCAACGCCCATTCAGATCCCATCCGAGCCCTTCACTCCAAGATGCATGCCGCGCTCTCGCGATTGCCTCGAAAGCGGCAGGGCAGGCGACCGGCATCCCTTGGCATGGTGGCCGCCGGGTCTATGAGCATACGAAAGGCATCCAAGTGGAGTGGCATTGCATACTCCACCTTGCAATCTGCTGTGCAGTCCGGCAAAACAACTGCTAACTCTGTCGGTCGCCGCCCAGCTCTTAATAAAAGGGAAGAACTTATGATGGTTTTTCTGCTTACCAAGATGGCAGCCAGAGGTACTCTGACTAATGACCACTTGGCCGATGCTGCCGCCATTTTTATTAGTCACATGGTGCTTCCGCGTCGTCTTCGTGTTCCCTTCAGGGATGGAAAGCCGGGACCAAAATGGCTCAGAGGCTTTCAGGCACGGCATCGTAACACATTGACATTCTCTAAACCAACACGCCAGGAGTCATTGCGATTTGCTGCTTGCAGCGCCGAAATACTAACCTCTCACTTTGCAAACTCGAATGCCTTATTGCCGACAACAACATAGACGCGCAACGCTTATTTAACTTAGATGAGTGCGGCATCAGACCAGGTCGGGACCTAGCTTCTAAAACGCAATGTAAGCGTTATATCACACGAGGCAGCTATGGAGACAGCCGTGCAGGGCACTGCAAGTACGATGACCGTACCACTATCATGCCGGTCGTTTCAGCAGCTGGAACAGCTGGTCCACCGCTCTTTGTTTTTAAGGAGAAGTGTATGCCGTATAGGACAGGATTAAGAGATGGGACTGTTGTGTATGAAACGTCGGCAAGTAGGCTGCCACACAGGGCAGCTGTGGCCCTCCGCGCAGAGCTAGGGGGTGTGGACTGTGACATTTTTGCGAACTGGGCTTGCGACTTTGTGGAAAGTATACAGGACCTCCTAAAGGACGGTCGAAAAGTTCTACTAGTGTATGATGGATATCGATCTCATTTATCTCTCCGCGTTCTGGAATTCTTTCATGAGAGAAATGTGGTCGTGTATGCTTGCCCGCCCATACATCAGGCGAAACACAGCCTCTTGATTGTGTGGTGTTTGGTGCGTTTAAGAGAAAGCTGAATAATGTGTTTATAAACATTGGTATGGCAGACAATATTGAGATCGATGTATTTGACATTTGCTCAATCATCACTGAGGCGTACGACGACACATTTATTGGTGGTAACATTAAGGCCGCGTTTAGGCGGTCTGGTATTTGGCCTCTGGACATGCACCGGATGCTATCCGTGCCACGACCCAGATCTTCAGCTGACAGGAATGAGATTCTGGGTTGTGAGCAACTGGAAGAGCTTTTTAAGAACAAGCAAGCAGAGCTACGAAATGCTGTTTTGGGAGAGACCGCTATCCTTAAACCGCACGGGTACGTGGACACGACTTTCGGGGAGGTCATGACGTCAAGTAATGTGCTTTCATTAGTGAGAGCGCGGGCGAACAGGCGCCAGGCTGCGCGGAACAGTGCTAAAATTTCTGCGCGAAAGAAAGGACTGGAGGAAGCGCGCAAGCTACAGGCGAAGCGAAAACGATCCGAGCTGTTGTCAGAGTATGTACGCACGCGTCGCGCGACACTGCTGTGAAACTGTACGGGATTACAGGAAAACGGTGCATCCTTTGCATGTTAGGAGTGCAGCTGCCCGATATCGCACCGCCAATGCCCGCGAACAACAGCAAGAAAACACACTCCAGTCCAGCGCCAGGGTCCTCCACCGCTGCTACGCCCTGCCCGGCGCGGCCCCATTTCGCACTGCAACACTGCACATGCCCCGCTTCCAGTCTTTCCCCATGCCCCGCGCCTGCAAGTCCCCCGCCGCCCGCGTATGCTCCGCTCCCAGTCTTTCCCCACGCGCCACGCCTGCAAGTCCCCCGCCGCCCGCGTACGCTCTGCTCCCAGTCTTTCCCCACGCGCCACGCCTGCAAGTCCCCCTCCGCCGGCGTACGCCCCGCTCCCAGTCTTTCGCCATGCGCCGCGCCTGCAAGTCCCCTTCGGATCGCCCTTCCCCCCTCTTGTACATAAACGTCGGCGCCGGGCATGTCCCCAACAGGGTTTCCACTCGTTCACTGGATGACGTGGCATACAAATTTGTTATATTTTTCGTTGGTTTGATTGGGCCAAATTAAACTGGTGACCGATCTTTAGGCACAAACTGGCTTTTTTAAGCCCTTTTTGTTTCGTAAACTGCGCGAAGATGTTTTTGATTTCGAGCTCTTGGCCAAAACATCGTGATTCACCAGTCTGTCAAGAAGCGAACGACACCAAAATGTCCGTGAATGACCAATCAATTCTACTTTTGATTTTATTTTCTTCGCAAGTAGCCGATAATTAGGGCAACCCTCCTTTAGGCTCAATTTAGACCTTCTTTGAACCGTTCTATCTTATAGACAAGTGTAGTGTTCCTATTTGCAAGTGCATAGGCTGGAAGCGTGGGCTGTGGAGAGCATCCCACCTGTTCATTTTTTGTTCAAGTTCAATACCGACTGATGAATCTCCTCGTGCCCCTAACACATACCAACCACCCTTCCCCACTCGAAATCTGTCCGACAGACCTTGAAGCCTAAGCCAAAACCCCGCCCCAGCAATCTCATGATGCCATCGTCGCCGCTAGAGCCACTTGACGGAGGTGACGGCCCAATCCTACAAACCCCCTTGCCTCTGCCACTCCCTCCCCTCACAGGCATCGAAGATGGCTCAATCTTTCAAAACTTCCATCCTCTACCACCTACTCCCCCTCTACAACCCACTCTTCCTGTACCACCCACTCCCCACACAGGCACAACGCATCAACCTTTGGTGACGGTAACACACACGTGCCCACTCTAAGCGCACAACAGAGCTCACAACCAGGCACTGTCCTTGAGCATTCTCAAGGGGGACAGGCGTCTACGCGCGGTCGCCCTCGCGGGAGAAGGGGCAGAGGGGGACGTGGAAGTCGATCATCGGCACAGAGAAGAACACACGACTACACGGAGGGATGGAGAATTCAAACGGTTCGAGACCAAGCTGTAAAACTCGAACATGACTTTATTACGGACGTGCTTTCCGAAAGAGCTCGGCTATTTACAAGAGCAGCCATCGAGAGAATGAAGACGGAACTACAAGTAAGACAGCTATTGCATTCGCGATCGAGCTACATAGTTCTTTTCTGTGATGAACTAGTGCCAAAATGTAACCTCTGGACAAACGAGCGCATTGTAATTAACAACTGCGGGCTTGGTCAACTTCACCGTGCAGACATGTATTCATTCTTAGCAGTGTTCTTTTATCGCAGTGCTCTGGGTTCAGCATCTCTAAGACGCTCGAATTGCTTCATAAGATGGACTGTCCTGTACCACCATTATCTCTAGTTCGCTATTTATCCGGAAATATTCTTGCTTTCTCTTCTACAGGACGTGGCGATACTGGTGAGAGTGTTTGGTGCTCCCAAAGAGATCAAACCGTCAGACTCTCAGAGCTTGAGATGGCGGCGTACAGTATGTCATGCAAAGTATTTCTTTCTCCGTCGTATACCTTTGCAACACTCGATGATGACCTCTATGGGACCAGGGCAAGTGACAACCAGGTTAAAACTATTAGCATGGGAAAAGCCGACAAAGAGGGACACTGCGTAGATGCCATTGCAGATGCTTTATTTAGAATTACCTTTATGGTTCGCTTTCGACGTCGCGGAGAGTCACAGACAAACAACGTTGAAAAACTCGTCAACGCAGTGGTTGACGCTCGCGGGGAGGAGTCTTTATCTGGGTTTGTGATAGCAGCCGACCGCGGGTATGGGAAAATGAGTATGATACCTAGTCTTGCCAAGAGAGGCATTGGCTTTATGTTTATAATGCCTGAACATCTGTTAAGATGTCATCCATTCGTTGGAGCCTCGCAATTCGATCCTGCAAAAGATGACGTGGAACAGAGCGAATTTGACAATGATATCGAACAGGCCCTCCCAGCAGATAATCGCTTTATCTATGATCGCGAGAATGCCTTTGTAATTGACGACAGTCCCCAAATGGGAAGTCTTTGCAAGTACGCCCAGAAAACGTTTAAAGATGATGGTTTGAATGTTCGATTGACGGCTGTAGTAATACGGGAAAGGGGGACGAAGAACTTTTCAAAGACGCTCCGCTTCGTTTACGCTCTGCCAGGAAGTTTGTCTAATTTAATCAATTGTTGGGTGGCTGTTCCTCGGAC